TACTTTTCAATACTTTGCACTTTGCTAAAGGATCAGCTTTTAGCTTTTTTTATGTTTTTACTAATTAATTAGCTGCAAGTATCCACATAAGGTCAGTTAATGACATGTTATAAAATTTATGATTTCCGAGTTGCTGGACCCAATTTTTTTTGCTTTAATAATAGCATTTTAGCCTTTTAACGAAAATATAATGCGCAATGTTAAAAAATAGAGATTTTTTAAAATTCGATTTTAAGAATTGCAACATATTAAATTAAACAATTCATAAAAATATTTCATTAATGCAATAGATATCCAAAATGATTCTAATAAAATATGGCTCAGTTATTAATGAAAAATTTCCTCAATATCTCATTTTCGATCGTGCAATATTTGTCACCCCCCGGTATAAACACATAAACACAATTTATACATTTTATAACTAAGCAATAACGTTTCTATGAGAAAAAGATATTCAATAATAGTTAGCCACTGTGATAGCCAATTATATTCAACCTTTTTGAACGGTTTTGCCTCAAGCCAATTAACAACCCTATATTTATCTGTATTTTAATCGAGTTCTGTACGAGGTTCCGGTTATGCATTTTTCTCACACAAATTTACTTTTATCACACAAAAAATCATATAACTTAATATAACGATAAAACACAAATAACACAAATAAATGATCGATTCTAAGCCACTTTTTTTTTTCTAATTTTTTGATAAAAATGAGTACTCATACGGGAAGAAAAAACTCGAATAATGCTTTTATTCGTTTTACAAAGCACTTTTTCCTGCTTGCATTTGTAATTTTAGTTTTTATTATAATGATTGCAGCAGTGAAGAGACAGGATTTTAGAACATGCGCGCAAACTTCGTTTTGTCGCAGAAATCGTGCTTATGCTGATAAAGCTGCTAGTTCACCATATAATGTAATTGAAGATACGATCAAGATAGAGGATGGTGTCATTTCAGGAGAATTAATTAATTCTAAAAATAAAATTTACTTTATTTTTGAAATTCATTTATTAATAAATAATGTTGTAAGGATTCGAGTCAATGAAAAAAGTCCACTAAAACCTAGATATGATAGAGTAAAGGATTGGTCACTAATTCAGGAGCCTATTATTACTTTAGAGTATACTGAAAATACAGTAAAGGATGGTTTTACATCAATCTCTTTTGGAATAGATCGAAATCATAAGGTTATAATACATCATGCTCCATTTCGTGTTGAATTACTGGATAACGATTTACCGGTCATTACATTTAATGATCGTGGATTCTTTAATATTGAGCATTTAAGGAAAAAAGATGATCCAGTTAATAGTCAACCCGACAAATTAGTAATCCAATCTGACGACAGTGCAGATTTAATAAGTGAAGAAATACAAGAAAACATTAAAGAAAAGCAAGAGGATGGTTCATGGGAAGAAACATTTAATGGCAAAAAGGATTCAAAACCGAATGGTAATTTACAATTAAGCAAGCAGAAATTTGTAATAAAATTAATATATAATAATATATCTATATTTATACTAGGACCCGAGTCTATTGGTCTCGATATCTCATTTCCGGGGTTTGGTCATGTGTATGGTATTCCAGAGCACGCAACATCTTTTTCACTAAAGGAAACACGGTAAGATATTCTATTATTCTGTATAAATATGATTTTATTCATCATTTACATTCTTACATTCTTTTTTAGCGGGGGGCAAGGTGCATATGATGAACCATATCGGTTATATAATTTGGACGTATTTGAATATGAACTAGATAATCCAATGGCTTTATATGGATCAATTCCATTCATGATGGCACATCGTAAGGGAGCATCAGTCGCAGTATTATGGCTTAATTCCGCCGAAACATGGATCGACGTTGTCAAAAGCAAAGAAGACAAAGTAAATTATATTATTGTATTGAGTTATAAGATCTTATTTAAATTTTTTTCATAATAATAATAATTATTATTATAACTATTAGCATGGTCTTTCAAGTTTTCTTAATTTTGGAAAAACCACACCAATTTCGACGCATACACATTGGTTTTCTGAGTCTGGCATTATTGATGTGTTTGCCTTTCTTGGTCCAACCACATCTGATATATTTAAACAATATGGATCTCTCACTGGATTCACTGCTCTACCTCAATCATTTGCAATCGGTTATCATCAATGTCGTTGGAATTATCTTAATCAGCTTGATGTGGCTGAAGTTGATGCAGGATTTGATAAACATGATATCCCATATGATGTCATTTGGTTGGATATTGAACATACCGATAATAAAAAGTATCTTACATGGGATAAAACAAAATTCACAGACCCAGAAAAAATGCAAAGAGATATTGGTAGGAAAGGAAGAAAGGTATATGAGTTTTGATGTGATCTAAGCTATAAAATAAAAAATTTTGTATTTATTAAAATATTTTACTCTTTTGTTAGATGGTTACAATTGTAGATCCACATTTCAAAAAAGATGATAACTATTATGTTTACAAGGAGGCTAAAGACTTGGACATTCTTACTAAAGATAATAATGATCAAGTATATGATGGTTGGTGCTGGCCTGGAAACTCTGTTTGGACTGACTGGACTAATCCAAAAGCTCAAGATTGGTGGGCTAAAAAATTTGCATTTGATCAATATAAAGTAAGTCAATTATTCCTTTATAACGAGTTATCTTTAAATACGAAAATCAAAAATTTTTTTTTTTCTAAAAAAATTATTCAGGAATCAACCGAATTCTTATTTATTTGGAATGATATGAATGAGGTAATTTGATAATTAATTCTTCCAAGCAACTTAATCTTGTATTTCATGACAACCTAATCATATCTTTATTTTATCAATTTTAAGCCTTCTGTTTTCACTGGTCCTGAAATTACGATGCATAAAGATGTTATTCATTATGAAGGATGGGAACATCGTAACATACATAACCTTTTCGGAATGGCTTATGTAAATATTAATTTGATTTTGATTCCAAGAATAATGTTCTAGCTACTAATTTTTGTGATACTTTGCAGCATGCAGCAACTGCTCAGGGTTTAATTAACCGAACAATTCCACACCGTCGTCCTTTTGTACTTTCTCGAGCATTTTTTGTCGGAAGTCAAAGATTTGGTGCAATTTGGACCGGTGATAATTCTGTGAGTTGGGACCATTTAGCTATATCATCCCCAATGTTGTTGACTATCGGTATTTCTGGATTGCCATTCTCAGGAGGTCAGTTAATTAAAAGTTATATTTATTTATTATTATTTGATATATAAATTAATTTGTTGTTTATTAATTATTAATTTAGCTGATGTTGGTGGATTCTTTGGAAACCCTGATCCCGAATTATTAGTTCGTTGGTATCAAACTGGTGCTTTTCAACCTTTTTTTAGAGCACATGCTCATATTGATACTAAGCGTCGGGAACCTTGGTTGTTTGGAGAACCACACACTAGTTATATTAGAGACGCAATTCGACAAAGATATATTTTATTACCTTTTTGGTATACTTTATTTCAAGAAGCTAGCACTGATGGAATGCCAATCATTAGACCGATGTTTGTAATTTTTCCGAATGAAGAAGAGACATTTTCTATGGAGGATCAATATTTTGTTGGAAATTCTCTTCTCGTTAAACCTATCACGAGTCAAGGACAGACTTCCACAGAAATTTACTTTTCAAGAAATGAAGTATGAAAGAAAAATTTATTTTCAAAATAATATTAAGGAAATAAGAGTATTCGATCTTTAACTTTATTTTTTTTTTGTAGGTATTTTATGATTATTATACATTTAAAAAAGTTAAAGGGTCCGGTAAAGTTAAAGTAATTGCTCCTATAAATAAGATTCCAGTATTCTTAAGAGGAGGTTCCATTATTCCTAGAAGACAAAGATTTAGAAGATCTTCATTATCTATGCGTTCAGATCCATTTACACTTTTGGTTGCTTTAGACAAAAAGGTAAAAAGAAAGTAACATTGTAATTTCTTAAAAAAAATTAAAATATGATAAATATTATTTTCTTTTCTTTGTTTATAGGGAGAAGCAACCGGATCGTTGTATTTAGATGATGGAGAAACATATGAATATCAAAAAGGACATTTTATACATAGAAAATTTAATTTTACTTCCAGAAAATTGTTATCGACATCATTTATTGATGGTCAAATTATAGATAAAGAAAATAATTATATTAAATCAAATCAGGATCTTAGAGTAGAAAGAATAATTATTGTTGGAATTGATAGAGCACCAAAGAAAATAATTGGTTATTATAATGATTTAACAGATGATAAAAAAGAATTAGAATTTAGTTCAGGAGGAACTAATTATATTGGAATTAATATTGAAGAAATATCCAAAGATGTTGTTATTATTAGAGATCCTAAATTATTTATCAGTAAAGATTGGACTATTGAATTTGTCAATTAAATGGGAAGAATTTGGTAAGTTAGTGAATAAGGTTATATTTACTCCATTGATTATTTAATTTGAAAACTTTGGGAATTCTCCTACTGGTAAATAATTTTTATGATATTGTGTGAAACTCTAACAATATGATAATAAATTATGATAATATTTTTTATCATTTTATTCGGAAATTTTCCAAGACTTGAAATTTATCTATAAGATCGCAAATAAATTTTTATTTGCCAAAGTTTTAATGAGTTGAATTTTTACTATTATTAATAATATTACATAAAAACAACGATCAAAAGAAAAGGCCGTCATATATGACCAAAAATTTCGAATTTTATTTAGTATCGTTATGATGAGTCATTTCAAGACGTTGAATATTGCAATGATCGCTAATATACTTTTAAAATTGTAGAATAAAATAAATTATTGAATATGATAATTAAAATGCGAAAAATTTTACCAGTGGGTTAAGACCTCAATTTATATTTGTGAGGTGCTTTTTTTTTTTTTTTAAAAAAAAAAAAATTTATTACCTTCTAATATGATAAATGCAAATGTCCCGTTTTAATGGGGCATGTTGGCATCTTTTTCATATTTCTTAGGCATACAAAAATAAATCTCCTTCTAAACACCCTAATAACAATAATTGATTTATAGGTAATATTCCTAAACTAGAGATCGAAGATTTAATCGTAGAACTCTTAAATTTAGACGAATAAGGGAGCTTCTCATAAATAAATAAAATAAAATGATTAATATCTCAAGGTTGGAATTCAAATAATAATAATTTTAAAAAATTTAATACATACATTATCATTTAATGGGAAGAATGTAATCGTATTACTATTATTGATTGTAATAACTTCATCTTTATACATTTTCAACGCTACTATATCTGAATTAACTGAAAAAAAAAAATGCAAAAGTGATTTAGCACTAACATAATAAATTTCAAATAATCCTACAAAAAAAAAGGTTTATAACATTTTTTTAGGTTCATGTTTACCTCTAATGGTTTTTATTAGACTAACAGTATCAGTATCCCAAATATAAATCACATGATCTGCAGGAGCACAAGATACCAAGTAATTGTTTGTATAAAATGTCATCTGCATAATACAAAAAAATTTATTTTAAATTGATATATTTCAAGAGTTGAATAAATTTCATGTTCATTTACTTACGTGAACAATATCAGTATCACCAGCTTTCCAACTAGAAATCAAAGTCCCTGTTCGTGATTCCAACAATGAAATAACTCCACTAGTAAATCCAACAGCAATTAAGGTCTCGCTTGGATTAATACACACAATTCTAATATTGCCAGCAAAGATTGGAGCACTTCTCCATGGGAGTAAATGATTTTTTGATTTAATGTCAAAGAATCTATTATATTAAAGAGATAAGGAATTTAGAATAGATCCATTAAATCTAAAAAAAAAATCCTTCGTTGAATACTTGCGTAATAGATGTATCAGCTAAACCTCCAACTAAAGTTGATCTAAATATTGGTTTAATCGATAAATATGGATTTTTAAAATTTCCAAATTGATTTATAGTCGTTCCAGTTTCAGGATCCCATATCTATGGGATAAAAAATTTTACTTATATTTATATTTTTTTCGAAAAAAAAATATATATATATAGTTTTTTTTTTTTTATTTTGAACTTACATGAACTTGACCGTCGCAACTAACAATATTATCGCCTAACCCCCAACTACCACCTCCTCCAAAAAAATGTACTTCTCCGATTGTGCTCTTTCTATGTCCGGTATATGTCTTCAAACATTCTGAATAAGGTTCAATTAAGCTATTTTCTATTCCTTGATGAATATTTAAAGACCATAACTTTACTGTACGATCTTTTGAACCTGATACAATTAACCGACTATGTTCATTTATATCAATGGAACGAACAGCCGATACATGACCTATAGTTAAAAAAAAGGGGGGTTCAAATATCAAAAAAAATTATTATTTTTTTTTCTTTTAAAAAAAAAATCTAATTGTAAGTCTACCTTGGAATGTTCTTAATTTTAGGTCATTAAATGTAAACTGCATAGAATTCGACATTTCTTCTGTATAATAAATCAAAATTAATGAAAATATTTTTAGAATTCAAATTATGTTAAATAAAGAATAAAGGAAAAAAAGAATGCCTGAATTCGTTGATAAGAATCTAGTCCAATTCCTGTAAAGTTGAAATTAAAGATTATCAAATAAGAATATTAAATCAGTTTACTTAAAGATATCTAAGCTTTACTTACTTTAAGTCTTCATTAGAAGAACTTTTGGTTCTCCAAGATAAATTAACTTTCAATTTTGACCTACAAATGACATTTTACCGAAATTATTTTAATCAAAAAATCCTCTATATAAAAAAAATATATATATCCTTTCATTAAAACTTACTTCTTGGGCCCACTAGAATTTGGAATATGATTACTTTTAGAAGATACCGAAGTTGGCATACTAATACTTCTAATATGAGAACCGCCACTTCCACCATGATGATTAATATCCAGTAATTTCCTACTAGTAACTTCTCCATTACCAAACAAACTAAACGCTCGATTAACACTAAATCCTGATGAAGTCGTAGCGGCTGACGTAGTTATTGTTGCCACTTCTTTCGTTATAGAAGCATTCGTACTTGGTAACAACGTCAAATGTTTTTTATCTTCAAAATTTATATTCCAACGCAAATTTGTTGGAGTTGCTGATAAAATGGAAGGAATTGGATTTTTTTCTTTATTTAAAGTGTTTTCAGAAGATGCTGATGTTATTGATATTCGATCGCTTGAAGTTTCATTTAATGAATATGATGGAGACATGGTACGACGTGAGGATGAATAAGATTCTGAGGAATCCAATATAGCCGTATCAATAATTTCACTATTAGGAATAGCTTGTCTTATAGTTTCTGATTCAAATAATGTACAAAATTGGGAATATGCATACATAATCTAAGAAGGCATATGTATTTATATTAAATAATATAATAATATAGTGAATAAAAAAATCATATACATGACTTTAATCCTAAAGCATAAAGACTATATCATTTACCTGCTGATCCCTTTCCTGCTCCAGCTTAGTTAAAGTGACTTCATCCTCTTTTCCATTATTTTGAACAGATTTTCCAAATAATTCAAAGTACTTAACTAGTATAGGTGCGATCTGGTTATTTTCATCAAACACGTGTAAAATTCTTAATTAAAAAATTCTCATATAATTTCCGAAATTAATAAACTCTTCCTTTTGACATCCAACTTGCATGTTTCTCCCATTCAGCCTTTTCGATATGATTACAAATATTTAATATAAATTCCATCGTTTTTATACTAATGGAAAATTTATTTTTCATTATCTGTATTGATAAATTACTCTTTCCGCTCGTATTATTTAATTTCTTATTAGAAGTTGTACTAGTTGATGAATCACTAGTACTAGATTGTTGTCCAAATAATAATAATAATTTAATCAAAATATTTGAAAATCCTGATTCTATTTCTATTAGGATTTTGGAACTTGACATTAATGTTGTTAACTAAATTCAAAATAAATATTATATTTTTATTTATAACATAAAAATGAAATGAAATGAAAAACGATTACCTTTTCTAATAATGAGAAATGATTACATAATATAGCATAATTCCTATTATTCATTGTAAAATCACTATATTGCTGTATTATACTAATAACTTGAGTGAATTGTAATTGTGTAAATGTTTCTCCAAATTGATTTCCTATAAAATAATAATAATCATTATTATTATAAATTTAAATAAAATTAAACATCACAGGACTTTTATTTACCAATAGCCAAAACACTTTGCATCAAAAAATTCAATGTGGGACTTTCTTTTAAAAACATTTTATAAACCTGCTTCATAATATATTTGCTGCTCAAAATAGGACCTATTAATGTACATATGTCCACAAGTGCCCCATTTGCCAGAAGTGCCACACTTGGTAATGCATTATCCAAACTACTTGTTAATATTGATATTGGATTTGCCATCATTTCTATGTCTGATGAATTATTTGCATTTTTTAAATTATGGTACAAATTTTGATTATTATAATTGTGCGGAGGTTCTAAGAAACTGTTCGTACCATATTTATATGGTAGTACATTTTCCTCGATTGTTAGAGATTCTAGATAAAGTGGAAATAATTGCTGAAGAAAATTAGGAATTCCAAATTTATGTATAAATTCCTTAATAATAACAGAATCAAACAGAATTTTTGGAATTGAAGGCCTCGAAGACTATAAAAAAAATTAAAAGTTATAATTAAATAAAAACATATCTTTAGGATAAATTAAAAAGAAAATGACTTGAGGTCACCTCAAACAAGGAAACTATAGGTTTTAAAAGGTGAGCCTTAGTCTCATCTTGTCCTAATCTCTGTCCGAGGCTTGAAAAAATATTTAATGCTTCGAACTTTATAGAATCATTTGTAAATAACAAAACTAGACTTGGTAATATCATGTAAAATGCCTAAACACATTGATATTAATGAAAATTAAATCATTTAAACCGAATTAAATGTTATAAGTGAACAGCATCAGTAATATATATATACCTCATCAGTAAAATTACACAATCTGTCCATCCAATGTTCAGCCAATTTCAATCTTCCTATCCAATCCCTTTTCAAGTAAATAATTCTATATTAATTAAATTATACAAATCCCTCATTTATAATGTTAATTATCTAAACTTACACTTTATGAAAATCTGTTAAAAATTCATAAACTTCCGGTATGCAAATGGGTAAAGGAAACGTAACACATTGATCACAAAAACTTGTAACTGGTACAGAACAATATAATATTGAATCAATTGATGGACGATTTCTCCAATCCGGATTAATTAACGAAGAAATAACTCCTTGAATTGGTAATGGCAACTTAGATAATTTTAAAAAATTATTAAAATACACATAAATATTTTAAAGAAAAACCTTTATAAAAATAGTAAATATTACCTTAGAATTACTTTTTTTTTGATTTTCTTCACAATTTGTTTTATTACATGGTAATGATAAATTTATATCATCCGTTGTCGTATGATAAATACTTTCAATAATTTTGCCAAGACTATAAGTGTCCCACGCTCTTCCATATGCAAAAGAAACTTCGATTGGCTCCATCATCTCATCATAAACCGATTTACGTTTTTGTTGGGGATCATGAACAATGTTTATTTCATATAACCCCTTATTAAGATTATTTTGTTCTAAATCATTATTATTTGGTAAATATTTTGCAGCAAAAGAATGAGCTTGTTCAAAATTACTTAATTTCTCTATAAAAAATTCATTATTCATATCATCAGGTAAATGTATTGGTAAAGAATTAATTAATGTTAGCAATATTTCAATACGATCTTTTGAATCCGAATTTGTTACCATAGCTGCTGCTACCGTTGTTGAAGGAACGCTTGATGAATTATCTTTCTTTTCCTCAATACTACAGACGGTCTCATATAAAGATAATGATCTTGGTGTTGTAGGACCAAGTCTTGGTGATTTAGAATTTCTAAGATTGGGTGAACCAGTTTGATGGTATAATTTTCCTATAGTTTTGTGGGCTCCGTTACTTTTAAGAAAATCTGTCATCAGCTCTGAAGATATCTTAAAATCTGAATCTGTTATTTTTGACGGAATCCTTCGTTTGGAGGAGATCATTTCGTATTTCTCTAATAAAGTTCTGTCTCCATTCATATATACAGATGAACGTCGCTCATTGTTCTTTTTTATGGATTTTTGTGGATGCGGATCAGAAAACAATTGCGTGATTCCATGTTTCATAAATGAATTCTGTCCATCTATAAGTGGTAACGCTACATTCTTGGACTCTACGGCATCTTTACCTTATATATCAAGAATCGTTATTAGATGTGTTTCGTAAATAAAAAATATTAAGAAAAATTGGTCTAATAATGTACCACTAAGTTTACATCCAAAAGTCAAATCTATCCATTGATGTAAATGACTCGACACGTGATCACTTTCTAATGCTTCAGAATGAATTCTTATGAATTCTTCAGCGGAAGATGCCCACCTGTTAAATAATAAATTTATAAAATAGTTCAAAATATTTACACAGTTTTCAAATTTAAAACGCTTACATTGGCAATTGTAAGTCGGGCATATCCGGATGTATTGAAGTAAATATACTTGGATCTATTATTAAATCAGGAAATTGTAATCAAAAAAAAAAATTTTTTTGCGATAAATTTATACCATTAATTCTTACCTGTATAAAATTCAGGAATACATTCATCAGGCGTCCACTCAAATAATCTTTGTAAAGATGATGGATACTCATTGGGTTCATATTTTGTTCTCACATATTGACACAACACCTATGTTAAAAGATTAATTTTGTTATAAAATATTTTCGAATTTCTATAAAATATCTTCACATACCGGAACAGGTGTTTTTCGTGCAAGATAAACAAAATACGTAATATCTGACAAAATATCTGTAATATGATGAGGTATCGGGCCATCAAATGTGAAATCCAATTGTTCATCACCTATGAAAATATCATATTTTAATACATAAAAATGTCTTTATAAATATTGTCTAAATCCTAATACAAATAGACTACCTTTATTGAGACGAAATTTTGTTTTTGTAAAATCTCTCCAATTTTTTGAAACATCTGACCCAGTAAAATCTGTTATCCACGGAAATATTGGATGAAAATTTGGATCACCAATTCTACGACCTAATATTAAAAATATTAGTATAAATACGAGATGTGATTACGATTTCACTGAATTAAAAACATTAAATAACAAACCGGCAAGATAATTCAAGGACATAATATAATTAAAATTTGTAATATCTCCTCGAACCCATTTCATTGTGAAAGTATCATCTTGTACTTCTGCATTATATTATTTTAAACAAGGCAAAATTTATTAGAATGTGGGTAACCATTAAATTTTCAATGTACATTTTAAACTGACCTTTTGGAATATTTCCCAATACAACTTCTTGTGAGTAATGATCTAAATATACAAATTAATAAATTAAATATTACTTTGATAATTATCTATGTTAGAAAGTATATGTTTACTGACATGTATCATCGCATAAAGGAACCGAACATTCAAATCCAGTAAGCGTCACCCATAAATTCTCATCCACCAAAATATTTGATGGTTTGAGTCTATCAAATGAAAATAAATTTGATTTGATAAAATTAAACTTTTATAACAATAAAAAGCAATGCTATAAAACCTTCGCTTACCCTCCATGAATCACACCTATTTGATGAAGTTTTTGTACAGTTTTCAATAGTTGGTATAAAATAAAAGACTTCTTAACGTTAGAATCCAATACGCCAGAACTATACTTCAATAGATCCTGCAGTGAAGTTCCACGATAAGGAGCCATAAAATAAAAGGCACGGTCTGATTCTATTACCGCAAAAACATCGATTAAATTAGGGCTTGTGGTTGGCACATCGGAGGACCAATCAGGAACAGATAATAATTCCATAGTCAAAGAATCATCCGTGGGTGGTGATTTGATTCGGAAATAGGCACTCTCTGGATATAAGATTTCTATGAATTTTTTAACAAAAGCCTTTGAAAAAATAGTACAAGTAAAATTAATAAATTCTAAAGAATTAATTTTAAATTTATACCGATTATGTATAATAAATACCTCCTGTCTGGCCAACTGGATTTCTAAGTCAGTTAGAGCATCTTCATTCTGAAATTGTTGATCTATAAATATTGGGACATAAGTATTATACTGCGCCTCTATCTCTTCCAAACTTGACATCGATTTATCTTCAAGTTGTTCTTTAAGAAAAGTTCTTATTGGCAATTCAATCTCTTCATCAAAGTTATGTGATGATGCATCGCTGTTACCAGAATTTACTTTTGAAAACAATTGTGGTCTGAAAATGAATCATGATCGATATTAGATTTCATATATAATGAATGAACTTTCCTAAGGTTCATATATCGTACATTTATCTTACCTTCGATTTCCTGGTATCTGACGTTTCAAAAAAACGCTGACCAAAACGTTTGTTGTAGATGATTGAAGATCATCGGTATGCAATTGATCAGAATTATTACTGGAATTTAAAGGAGAACGAGTATTGGTATATCGTTTTAGTTGTACAGTATCTTTAAACCTTGCTTGTTTTAAAATAGATAGCCAATGTTTATGGACCTAAACAAATTACACAGTTTAAATGAGGACAAATTACTTGCTGTATCAACTATTTTTTTCACTTACCACACAACAAGCAGTCGCTCCGGTTTGCTCTTCAACGGAAAAATAAGGAAAAGCGACATCGATATGTAATTCTTGAGCAATGATAGCAGCAAGCTCTTCTTTATCAAGCTTGTTGATAGAAACCATTTCAATGGGAATAAATTTAAATATGTAGATCATATAAATGCATAATTGAATTTCACAATTTATTCACATGACAATTTTGATCGATCAGATAATTAAGGGGGGTTTTTTTTTTTTTTTTTAATAAATATTTAACGTGAACAGGTTTTCTGTTGCGTTCCTCTTTTTTTTTTTTTTTTTCCTGCACATTCTCTGTAATTGATCATCTATGATATATTTTATTCTTTTATATTACAATGGCTGCATATTTAACGTCTGATTGTCTTACGAATATCCTTTCATATTTTGACTCGGATCCGCATTCTTTACATTCATTCCTTTTGGTAAATCGTTATTGGTGCATTAATACAGTACCAATCTTATGGCGACGTACTTTTTATCTTACAGCACACGGATCCTTTTCATCGAAAAGTAGATGTAGATTAATATCTACATATCTATCCTGTTTAGCATCAAATAAACAAAATTCGCCAAATTTAGATAGTAGTATTACAATCACATCTCATGCATCATCATCGGACATGACAAGAAATAAACAAAATCATTTCTCATTTGCGCAACAAAAATCTTTGACATTTGACTATGTGTCATTTTTGCGAGGATTCGATTATTTTCAAGTATATTATGCGATTGGAAATTGGTATGCAAATCAATCATCGGAAAAGAAACAATCAATTGACTTCATAAAAATCTTTGGAATGGATGATGATGAATGTAGAAAGTTTATGATTACCAAAGAATTAATTAAATGCATATTAAATAAATCACCAATAATTGATTACTTAGCACTGGACTCTGAGACAACAATACCTTCTGAATTTACTTCAATTGGAAAATTTCCTGGTGCTACAATTTGCTTATCTTATATTCGAACCTTTATTTGTCGTGGCAGTTCAAAGAAACTGGATTTGTATATAGTCCTTTCCAAGATATGTAGAAATGTTGAAAATATGACAATTTGTGGAATTGGCGAAGATGATTCAAATGCCGAAGGATTGTCTAATTTAATAAGAAAACAACATCATTTACGTAAATTCGTATTATGGGATGGAACGAATGAGCAAATGTCAAAAGTCATTAAAGCTTTATCTGATAATCGTGAAAAAATGAAATATTTGGAATTTAGATTTTGTAATTTTGAAAATTGTAGACCATTGGAATCTCTTGCAGCTGCTTGTACAGAATTAACAACTTTAAAATTTATTCAATGTGGAGAAATTTCAAGTAACATTACACTTTCCTTTTCGAGATCTTTATTTCCTGATTTACACGATTTGGATTTACAAGGGACCCATTTTCCGGCCGATACGTTAGAAACAATTTTTCATCACGCGAATATTAATTTAATTTCAATTAATATTGAAGCGGATTCAAATCAACATTTTCGTATAATAGAAAAGTTGGCTACTAATTGTCCAAACATAACAAAACTTCATGCAAGGTTATCCAAAAATGGAATGGGACAACTTAATTCTTTATTTCGTTCTTGTAAACGTTTAGAGACAATAATTTTACAAGGTCATCTTCCGAATCGTATTTTCATATTTGCACAGGATGCTAATGATGATTTATTAATTAATCTTCGCGAAGTTATACCAGCAAGTTTGAAAAAATTTGTGGTGAAAACTGATTGTGCATTTACATCATCTGCCGTTGATACTTTTCTTCGTGAATGTAAAGCTGATTTGAATAGATTGGAATTTATTTCTTATGGAAGTGTTTGGCAGCATTTGAACGTTATAAAAAGATATGCAAGAAAACATAGATTGGAGATTAAGCAGCAAATTGCTGGTAACTATAAAGAATTATTAATGAGAGAATTAGGGCACGTTATTGTTGAATTCGAATGATAGTAATAGTAAAAATAGTAATTTTAATAGATTTATATACTTATATAATATATACATATCATAATAATTATAATTAAATAAACTCTAAAAAAATTCTTATAATCTCTGCATTTTTTTTTTTTTTTTTTTTTTTTTTTTTTGATGAAATAATTTCTAAAGTCAATTAAAAAACTTTCTATATTATTAACCTATAACTTTTTTTTTTTTTCTCTCCTAATTATAAGTTCTTAAAATATAAATTATATTACTTATCTACTAAATTAATTTATTAATTAATCAACTAATTTAATTTTGATTTATTTATTTACTTCATTTTATATATATCAAGTTAAAACTTTATATGGCTTTAATATATACACTTTATTATATCCTAATGAAAAGAAAAAGGAAATGTCTTCTATTTCGCGTTCAAATCACGATTCATATAACATACAATAAGCAATAATCAAATCATTTAAATTGCTTCCTTACACATCAAGAAAGAATTTTACTATCTCTCTTCATTCTCTTGTTCGAATCCAATCCGCTAACCATAATAAAGAATTTCCGTTCCTCAATCTTTCCAATTCTGCTAATGCATCATAGATTCCAATATGTTCTGATCTAACTTGGACTTCTTTTACAATAATTCTACGTTTCCTTAAGTGATACTCATTTTCATAAACCCATTTACCTCCATATCGTTCCATCATTAATATCACAGATGGATTGCCATTAATACCAACATTCCATTCGTTCCATATATCTGTAACCGATCCCATTGTTTCAATAGGAATCATGTGATAATAAGGTGGTAATGGTTCAAGGGAATTAACAACAGGACTGCTGTGGGAGTCATAACCAACGCCACCTCCGTTTGTTGAAATAGTTTTTGAACTACTACCAGACCTAACTAATATATCATTATTATTATATTGCACTGTTGGTGTACTTTCGGACGAACTTCCACCAATTCTTGGCATGACAAATGGATTATTGTAGGGATCTAGAAAGACACACGTATTACTAGATGAGCTAACTTGAGGAGTGCTACTATTGCTGGGCTGTATTGTAGAATTGCTATGCGGTGTTGTAGAAGATGTCCCACGAGATATTTCTGAATAATTATTATGAGGTGTTGTAGCAATCGGGAGAGCATTAGTCGAATTCATTGAATTAATCGAAGCCGAAGTTGCATCATTTGCATGAAATATAGGCGGACGAGGAGGCGAATTATAATAGGGCAAACTTTGTGAATTTGTATCAATAAAGGTAAGATAAGGACTACTACATTGTTGTGAGGAACCAACTTCGGTGGATGAAGGGGCAACATCTTGTATGGTCGAGTTGTTACCACTCATGAAAGTATTGGCAGCTCTCATCATATATGGACTAATAACTATTTGAGCTTCTGAGGGATTTTTATTTGGCAATATTCTTTGATTTTTTCGTTTGGATGCTGAAGATGCAGTTGATTTTGATGCTGATCTTTTCTTTGTCGTTGTTTTTTTCTTACTAGGACTAGTCTGTGATTGTCGTGTTGAAGGACTACTTTCTGACATTCCATCGAGATCTTGCAGGCCAGTAAATGAATCGATTCTATTAACGTCATCATTCGTTGAATTAGATGGAATCATAAAGCCAGAAGTTTGATTCCTTAATAAATTCGAAGAATTTACAGTAGTACTTTTTGGTGATGAATTAACTGAATTAATAATACTCTCTATATTATGCTTTAGTCTTTCGGGTCGAGGCTGTAATGGCTGATTCTGGGCTGGAAGTATCGGTCGATTTATTCTTGGCTGTTGACTTTGTGATAAATTTGCATTTGCCGATAAATTTAATTGATTTAATTGATTTTGTTGCGTTGTACTTAACAAATTTTGTAATGCGTGGTTATGATGTATTATATTTGCGTTTTCTAGTCTTGCAGCAGTTTGACTCGAACTTGCTATGATGCTAGGCAAATTAGGTGGAATTGGTTGTGGAACAGGTTTGAAAACAACAGGTTTTGGAACAGAACTTGGAATAGGATTGAAAACGGGATCAGGGTAAGGATTAGGATCAGGATTATAAACGGGGTCAGAAACAGGAAATGAAGTAGGAACTGAAATAGACGCGGGTTCCTGAGTTATCTGTTGATCTATGTGATCTCGATTTTGTTCTGATTCTTGAATCTCCGTTTCCTGAGGTGTAGCAGGTGAAGATGTTTCATTTGGTATATTCTGATCTGAGGCGATAGACGAAGTTGTTGGTGCCACGTTGTTCGAACGATTCTCATTTTCATCCGCTTCGACAAGTATTTCAGTCTTGTCCGTAGATTCTATCGAACCAGCGACGGGTGTAATATCTGTTTCAACAAAAGTTCTTGTAGTCATATTTCCAAATTGATCAGCCTCAGTAACTGTAGTCATTTTAATTGTTATCGTTGTACTTGTTTTTTGAGTTGAACATCCTGTCGAATGACATATATCACATGTAGTACTTCCGGTTTCTCGTGATTCTGGCATATGCGATGCATTAGATGTATTATTACTTTGAGCTGATGTATACGCCTCCTGATTCATAGGAGAATGTTGATGGCTAACGGATGGAAACTGATCCTGGATATTACGTGAGGAAAGATGTTCAGTTCGATTAGAAATATGATTGGTTATTGAAGGATTATTATTGTGAATACTTTGAGTCTCGTTTGATAATGATTGTAAATTACGATTGAATTCGGTTTCACTACGTACATCATCTCGACCTGATGGTATCGGTACAACTCTTGGAGGCGGAATTTCACGCATTGGCATGTAATTATTAGTTATTTGTGGCATAATTCTTTCCGTAGGGTTTATAGGCTTAGGAGTCATTCTAGACGTTGACCCTGCTTGTGTGTAATTAGAATATTGTAAATGATTTGGCAACAACGCATTTGATATATTCATTGAAGTATCATGAAAATCTGAAATGTTCCCACTTGAAGATGTTCCTTGAATTAAATTTTGAATCGCAGGATATACTGGACTATCACTTTTCATTGGTAGCAAGTTAACATTAGGTAACCTCGTTCCTGGTGTACGACGAAAATTCAAATTCGCTCGATTTTTTTTAGATGAAGATTCGACCGTATAATTTACATTTGGTAAATAATCTTCATCTCTCGGATCATCCATTTCTTCAAATATA